GTTTCTAATTCGTTCAAAACTATAGACTTAGTATTTTGACTTCACAAACATCTAATTTGAACCAGTGCTGCATTTAACATACCACATGACACACAAAAATCAATGTTTGTGTTTTTTTAATATTTGCTTTTAAATTAAGAAATTCAATAATATATAGTACTAAAATTTGAATTATAATCTACAGATTGACACCAAACTTAGACATAAATTCATGAAATAGTAGTTCAATAAAATTTTGAAGGCGAGTCAAAAAACCGAGATGGCCTTTCACTGATCCATCTTGAAAGGGTTAATGCAAATGCCTTGCATCACAGACGTGTATATAAATGAAAATTAGGTGACACTATTTTTAATAACATTCCAATATGCAATGTTCCCATAATTTTTCAAGTTCTAAATTCCATGTTACCTTACAAATTCTTCCATATCAATTTCACACTAAATATATACTTATATATATGATGAAGACTGAAAAATTTGCTTACTAAAAACTATTGCACACAGATGTAACAGTATGTAAATTATTTGTATCATCCGTAACAAGTTTGAAGATCTGATGAAAACTGCTTTAGCAGCATTTTCAACAAAACTTCAAATTAAACACACAACAAATACAAAATGTAACTTTTAATGAGAACACTTAATTTTGATTAAAAGAAATAAAAAAAAACATTTATTATTAGTTCAAAATAAAATATATCAAATCATTAACATGATTTTGTAGATGGTACATTTACTCAACTTAGATAATTTGTTATATACCTGTCTCCCTCATAATCAATTAACTGAATGGCAGACAGGATCAAACTAATAAAGACAATTTTTGGGGAAAAATTTTTTTTAATTCAATGGGAACTTCGAACAAATGTAGGAGTGGTAAGGTAAGACTTAGCAGACCCACGTAGTATCATGGTGGATGCTATATTGTTGCTTAATTTTTGGTATTATTAAACCAATACAGTAAATCCCCACAAAAATTACAAGTGTAATGTCTATACAAAAATAACTGATGTTTTTAAGGTTAGAGTAACAACACCGATTTTGAATTATCAGATCTTACTCCATCATCTAGTATTGATCTAAAGCACAATTAACTTTTAAAAGTTTGAGGATTGGGAGGATTTGGAAACAGTGGTTTTATCTGATGTAAACTAATATGCATGTACAAGTGTGGCTGTATTGATACAATAATATCAGTGAGACTATGTGATACAGCAACATAAAACTACTTTGAATTACATACCTCTTGCACAAGGGACCCATATTATATGAAGATTTTTCCCAACTCCACTCTAATTTTGACAATTTTGTCTAGAGGATTGGATATATTAGTAGACTATGTATAATCTTTTTTTTCCAGTTTTATTTCAATCAGTTTTACATTATCCACTGATTGTATTCAATATGGTTGCTATGCTCCAAGTCAAGTAATCAACCATAAATAAATGTGTATTTTCACTCATCCCAGAACACAATTCTACAAAAACTACATGTATTTACACCACCAATATGATAACTACACTGTCCAGTTTGTCAATTAAGCTTACAAATATAGATAAACATAACTGAGCTTAATTTTCTGTAAGATTAAGTTAAACCATACAAGACATACCTTGTTTTCTTTCTCTCCCATAATTTCTTCCAGAAGTTTTAAGAGCCTAAAATTATATTAAAAAAAGAAACTAATTAAAATACAAATTATGTAAAATAAATTCCGTATATAAAAAAATAGAAGGTTTATGGATAAGTGAAGAAATAATGATTCTTTGTTTATGAATGGTAAAATTATCAGTTACTTGTAACTTTACAATTTTTTCTTCTATCATTAATGATCACAAGATCGTAAATGATTCAGAAACCATGCAAGGACAGACTTTCCTTTTCCTAAAATGTCTTTTATTCATCAATAGCTCTGCCTTTCCATAAGTATTAGTTTGTATAGCTATAAAAAATGGATCCATATTTTTTGAGGTGGAATAGGAGAAACTTTTAAGAATCCGAAATCTTAAGAAATCTACCATTATGAAGATGCAGATACAAAAGTTGAAGAGCTATATAAAAACACAAGTGGAGAAAAGTTTCAGGTTTTTCAGCTGCTAAACTTAAAAATTTTGAAAAATACTTACTTAGCATCTTTTTCGTAATCATCACAGACATCTACAATCTGGAGTATGTTATGATTAGCACTCAACTCTAATGCACCAATGTTCACTTGAATGTAGTCTCTCAAGAAGTCTTCTGCAAGCTTACGAACATCCTTTGGCCAGGTAGCACTCCACATCAGTGTCTGACGATCAGGCTAAGAGTCCATCAGGATATCTTAGTATTAGTACTTTTTTTCCCCCATGATACAATCATAAAATAGTGTCATATACAGATTTTCTTAACTTTGAAAATTCTTAATACTTTGAAATGTTCATGAAATGTGTCTCACTAATTAGTCAGAAGTCATGTTATAGTTTTAAAAAATGCATAATGTGAATGCATGAGTAACAAAAAATTGCATGTGTGTGTGTCTTGATTAGTAGCAACAAAAAGATAAAAACTTTGAATATAGGCTGTCCATTCACCCCAATTTAGATGGCACGTACAAAGTTCTAGCTAGCCTGTGGCTGGTCTTGACAGTCATTGGCTATCTAGATATCCTCCCCTCAGATACAAGAGAAAAACCAACACAAAGCAAAGAACTTTGACTAACAGTGATTGTACTGTGAAATGTAAGAACTCCTGCAGTTATTCCAACTGAGATATGGATGTTAAAATGTATACGTAATGGAATAATTTTTGCATAAAAGCACATCTTTTGCTTAACGAGTACAATTTTGTCTTAATGCAACCTCAGTTAACAATGATAGATGGGTTATGATAAGCTTGAAAAAACTTCACTTTGATGAAAAAAAGGATAGCTTTGATTCTGGCTATTATATACAGGTTTATAATCTCTTAACTCCAGTAGTGTCGCAGTTTAACCCATTATATAAATATGCAAACTATGGTAAAACTACCAGTAAATAGTAACACTAGTCCATTCAAATCTCAAATTGCATTTTAGAATCACTCCATTTTTGTAATATTTAACCGAAAAATTATATTTTATTTATCAATAAGAAATAATCAACAGCCTAGTGATCTAAAAAAGAAGCTGTATTACAAATGAAAAAATACTCACTCTAATCTGTTCAACAATTTTCCTTATTTGAGGCTCAAAACCCATGTCTAACATTCTGTCAGCTTCATCTAAAACCAGATATGTACATCTTTGAAGATTAGTCTTCCCCATTTCCAGAAAGTCAATTAAACGTCCTGGTGTGGCAATGCAGATTTCTGCTCCTAAAAGATACAGATGCTGGTTAGCACAAAACTCATTCTGCAGTATAGTAGAGTGTTCATACAATCTATGGTACAATTACTAGGATGAGTGCCTTGTTCTTAGAGCCCATTCTTCCATCACCTCTGATGTTCTTTGTAATGGCCACATTTATTGACTAAAGATGTAACAGAATTTTCACTACAAAATAATTTTGTAAATTAAACTGAGGACAATGTTGTCTCCCAACTGTACTTGGATGACTATTTTCAACAGTTCACCCAAGCCATTGTGAGGTAGAAAATAGGACTGCATAAATTCCAACTCGACAGGAACTGGCATATTAATTTGGACACACGACTTAATACCTTGTCTTGATCGAGTCATTTCTCATTTGCATGGTATTAGCCTGCTAATGTGCAGTGTTCACTTTGGAATTTTTCTGAACTCTCCATATGATTAACTCAACATTACAGTTGTATCTGCTGCCACTATAAATCACTTGGAAATACTTTTAGATGCTCTTGGTTTCTGAACTAACACTGGGGACCCAACCAATTAGATAAAATGGGGCCACTTTATATTTTGACACAATACACCAAGATTTTTTAATGTATCATTTATTACTTACTTACTGTATTAACACTTATTAAACATTTTCTATATAGCATTTGTTTACTATTGATGTTTTCCACACTTTTCCCATCATTTTAAAGATACACAATGTCCCATTTGTATCAAGTTGCCATGTGATGAATTCTGTATGGAGATAACATTTTTGCCCACAAAAAACACAGGAAACAGTACGGGTATTATAGTGATGAGTTCAGAAAAAAAAAATCACACACAAGATTTCAATTTTTTTAAAACTGTAGCTGTGAATAGGATTAAAAGAGAAACATTTTAGCCCGAGTCCTAGCAAACATTATAAAGCAATTTTATCTATTCATGCTATAATTTGTGTATTTACATTTTTGTGTAAAAACTGTACTGTCATTTTTGAAATATTGTATCAATGGCAGAATGATAATAAATAGCTTGGACTTTGTACACAAGAGTATACAAACTTTTCATCTAGTGTGACAATATAATTTGTCACACACACTAGGTACAATTCAAACAGCTTTCAACAAATATTCTTCTATTCAACTATATGATTTGGAAACTCGTGACCACACCTGTCGTCATTTTTACAAAGCTATTTTTGTGCAAATTATCTTTTTTTACAGTCCCAAGGAAAGTCTACTTTAGCAGTAGTGACTACCGTGTTCTTGGATTACTTCCAGTATGCCAATGATTGCCAGTTATGGAACAGCTTTAATTTATCCATGTCAAAAACAAGTCTTCCCTTGCTATACCTATACTGTTCAACACCAAATATTCCTTTTGTACAAAATGATAAAATGTTTGACATGTACATTTTTTCTAAATTACAGAACATTAAAATATTTTCCCCTAAAGGGTAAATTTCACATAGCATATGCATTGGTCTGAGTTTTTAATCTGTAGGCCACAGAGATGATCATAGGAAAAGTGAATGGATAAGCAAATCATTACTATAGATCAAGAACAACCCTCTGTAAAACAGAAGAATAATACTTTATTATATCTATTAATAGAATCTTCTTTAAATATTAAACAATTTTGAAAATTTACTAATAATTCAACTTTTGCTCAAAATTTAAGAATATTTAACTCCATGCAGAAATTGAAATCCATAATGAATAGTTGAGACAAAAAAATTCTTAGAACAACAATAATTTTGTTGTGGTGATTTCCTTGAAGAATATATATTTTTAAATTACCATGCTCCAGATCTCGTAATTGGGGTCCTTTGGGTGCACCTCCAAATACACAAGTGTTTCGAATGCGAGACATTCTCCCAAAATCTGAAGCCACTTGCTGAATCTGTTGGGCAAGTTCTCGGGTTGGCGCTAAAACTAAAACCTTACAAAAGAAAGCCCAGAATGTTTCAGTAAATGCTAATATTTGAGAATTATCAAAATGTAAAGCAATATCAAATAAAAATCATAAAACATTACATAGCTAACTTTCAATAGTTCTATATTATAATCTTCAAAAACATTACAAAACCTTTTTTTTTCTTAGATCAATAATATATTTCTAATCACTTTTAAAATGTATTTTTAACCCCTTTCCTGTTTTAGGTCATTTAACGTACACACTTATTTGACTACTACTTACAAAGTAGGTACAAGTAAAGTATATCCATCTTTATTACTCAAACAGTGTGTGGTAGAGAGTTTTAGCAACTAACAATCATAGGTTTACATTTTCTTTTGAGTGAAAGTAAATTAAAGTATCATCATTCATATGAACTCTTCTAATCTCCTACGTTAACCAAAACAGCCAGTTCCCACTGTCATGTCCATGAGCATCAGCTGCATATCAAATAAATGTATGACATATGATACTCAAATGCTTTACAATTATGTCCTGGGTATTACATGTGATTCACAGTAGAGGTAAAGAAGTCTCAGAATAAAACAATAATTCATCAGCATCCTACTTCAAAATATGCATTAATGTAAACCAAGCACATTTCTTACTACGCCTTTGATTTCTTTACCACCAATTCATCACTTTGTCATTGGTGGTTTGTTTTGAATTTCACGCAAAGCCACTCAAGGGCTATATGCACTAACTGTTCCTAATTTAGCAGTGATAGACCAAAGGGAAGGCAGCTAGTCAACAACAACTTTTGGGCTACTCTTTTACCAACAAATAATGGGATTGACTGTCATGTCATAGCTTATCTTTCATAAGCAATATAATTATAAACTTCAGGTTTTGTCACAGTACAAAAATGGTTTAAAAATGCATATAAAATAAATTCAGATCAAAACTAGTAAATCATTCATACTTAAAGAATAGTAAAAAAAAAAAGAGGAAAATTTCAAGTGCAGAACATATTCTTATTATCCTTGAATAATTGCTGTGCTTATTCAAACAAGGAGATTTATAGGTTAGAAAGGACCACTTCTCAATGTACTGGTAAGTCAAACTGGATTTATTTATAAATAACAGACAGCATAATTTTATTTAGCATCATATGTTTTTAATGTGGCACATTATTACATGTTCATTTTGTATCCTTAATAATACAGAAGATAGAAGTGAAATGTATCTTTTTTGTTGTTTTTATAACAATTGCACCAATATATCACTTTCTCATCCAGTAAAAATTCTCTATTCTCAGAAAAGTTAAGAATATTAAGTAACCATTATAGCTTAAAAAACATTTTCTTGATACTCACAATAGGTCCATCACCTCTTTCCAAGCGTGGCTGATTACTTATGTGGATAATGGCAGGTAGTATATACTGCAACAGACAATAAAGTTATCTAAGACCTCTTTTTCATTACTTAATTAATAATAACAGGTAAACAAGGTAACAGGATGCATGGTTTGTACTATTCTTAAAATATTTCAGCAAAATGATATATTCTTACTGAAAATAATTGTTTTTGTAAGTATCCAATTACAGCCGAATTAAATACAGAACTGTAAAAATTATGTACTTGGAACTCAAATAACACTTGTTAATTAAAAAACACACCATTTTGTTTTTCAAACTCACACATATAATTAAAAAAAACCCAAAAAAACAACAACAAACAAAGAAAAAACTGAACATCAACCACTAGTTCTCTTGTATGTATATAAAATTGTTAAATTAAGTATTTTCACACCTTAATTTAATCCCAACAAGTTCAATATTGCTAAATAGAAAAGGAAAATATTTAATTTCTTATCCATTAGCTTTGTGGTAGTTTTCTAATTATCATATTCTGACAATTTAGTTTGTAATCTGATAACTGTCCAAAGTTTACATTAATATAGTATACCATGTAAAATACCCATTTATGTACTGTATATCCATTTTTACGAATACCTATCTCACAAATAAGGAACTTGAAAGAAAGATATTTTTAAAACACGAGAGAAGAGATGCAACTGAACAACATCAACACGATTTTTAAATAAAAAGTAACTTAATTTAATGAAAGTGAAATTAAAACAAATTGTTTTTACCAAAGAGACATCTTAAAACTTAATTTAGCATGTTGCCTAAACATTAATTCAATCCAATCAGCAACATTGTCAACAATCTTTAATTTTAAAATAAAACTTTAGACAAATGGTAAAAAAGGTTAAAAGCTAAATCCTACCAAGCATCAAACACTAAATTTTGTTTGTTACTGTTGCACATAAAATTTAAATAAAAGCAATCACTATTAGATAAAATATACTTACAGCAAGTGTTTTGCCTGACCCAGTCTGAGCAATGCCTACCATATCTCTCCCACTAAGACCTATTGGCCAGCCCTGACTCTGAATTGATGTTGGCTTCACATAATTCTGTTGCTTAATTGCAGCAATTACATAATCTGTAATACAAGCATAGTGATCACATTAAATGATATTTCTTAACTGTTAAACTAAATTGAGTTGATTTACATTCGAGATTACAATTTCTTAAATTTTGTATTATTTGAAAAACACTGATGTAAAAGGAAAGTTAAGTAACATTGAAAATGAATAAATTTTTTGCACAAGATTATCCCATGATAAATAACTAAATACATATAAAAACATTTAGTATACCACATAAAAAGCTAAATTTTAGTTCCAAGATTTACAATTCAAGATGAACTTTATACAACCATAAAGTTCTGAAAAAAATGCTGCAGTTTATATTCTGACATTTTTACTAAACTTGGATTGTTCTGATTGCAAAATTTAATCTGTTCATGAATTCAATATTACCATTTTGTTTTATCATTATTGATATTCTTTTTTAGTACTAACTCTAATGTATTAACTATTTCAGCATGGGCTTGATCCCTGGGACCGACCTCTCAACCATTTTATGCTTGTTATAGTTTTCATGATATAACTTTTAAATTAGTAAGTGTTATGTTAACTAAACTTGGCAGATTATCAGTAAACATTACAATGCTTTCATATGCAAATACCAATTTTTTTTATTGAAGTCTTAAGGTTTGTTAAGCAATGTTTTTCTCGTGCCTTTTTCTTTTTGCATGTTGAATAGGCAACATGCAAAATAATTTTCATAAGATAAAAAATACTTTGATACAGACAATTTTCAAATTTAACATGCAAAATCTTTATAATGCCCAGATAGTTATCAAACATTTCTTAAGAAAAAAAACTATATTTTATCTGTTATTTTTACTAATGAATCTTTGAAGAGGTTCAGTAGATTTGACCAATCTTGTAATCACCATAAAAAATTAGGAAATAAACATAAATTATGCCTTTCATTCTAGAATTACAACATATTACACGAAAACATAAATGTATATTCTAAATAACTTGTTTCATAAAATTATACATCTACAGATATTTAATATTTTTATTTTATTGACCTTTCAGCCATGTCTGACTAACATTACAGAGTTTACACACAGGCACATGTAGCTTTATGTTACCATATCCAATAATACAAAACTGGCTTTTACAAAGTGACCTGTCTTGGCTGTGTTTAGTGGACTAGTATTTTGTAAAATACAGTCACATTTCAATTATTATACATT